ATAAATGGAAGTAAGAAGCCGAAGTGAAGGCGAAGACGAAATAGAAACAACATTAGTATCTTCATAATTTTTACATGAGAAGCTTCTGGAATATACTCCACGTGATCGACTAGCGCTGTGATCGGATTAAATTTAGCCAATCAGCATGCAGCTAACATCACCAGTATCGATTAGGCACTGAATGAATAGGAATTAGCCAATCAGCGTCCATCTAACGCGGCCATACCTTATTCCATCTATGTCCCGCTAACAATAATAATAATAATAATAATCGTAGAAGTGTCTCATTTCATATCACGTAAGAAAATAACATGTTGAATTGAACTGTAAACAATCAATGTTTTATTTATTCAAAGTATTTATTTAGTTATTATTATTATTGGTGAATTAAATAAATATTATTTTTAAAAATCAGTTAAGTGATATTTAAAAAAAAGGTTAAATAATGAAAATTAGTGAGAATTTTCTGAAAATGAATTTTCTTGCGGTGAACCAGAACAACGAATTTCATTTGGTTGCAACTACTTTGTTTTTCAAATAAAAACAAACATTTTTTCTGATTGTGTTCACTGACAAATAAACAAACAAACAAATAAATAGTGAAGAAAAAAAAACAAAAGTCGCTGAATGACGTCAGTTAATTTTATGTTCAGTGTTTAAATGTTTTTTTTTCAAATTGTAGTGTGATGTGTGCTACTTATACGAACGATATAAGTAGTATAAGAAGGGACGTGTAAGAAGAAGTCTCACGATCAGAAGCGGAAAACGGAAAGCAAATGGAGCAAAAGCAAACAGTAAGTTAAGTACCAACAGGAAGGAAAGGCGACAACAGTAGGAATGGAAGAAGGATGGAGCGTTGGAAGTCACGACTTGAAGATGGTGTGCAAATAGAATGTTCAATGTAATGTTTTCGTTTTTAATTGACTAAGAGTGTAAATTTTCTCAACACAATCTATCGTGCCTGCCTCAGTCTTCTCAGTTGGAGTTAATGCTTTGAATAATTCATTGAGAAATTTTTTGTAGAAATTTCAGTGGAGGGAAGTCAGTCAGTCAGTCAGATGCAACGTAGAACTTCGTACGTAAGTACATCAGTTCACGTTGCCATATCACATTAGCGCACAGAGATATAATTGTCAATTCAAATCCAATAGTAGTAGAGTTGGTAAAGGTATTAGAAGTAATCGAAGAGGTTAGGATTAGAAGATATTATTCAAGAAGTATGATTCAGTGAGATAAGTTTAGAAAGTCAAAATTAGAGGGGTTGAAGAATCCAGATTAGGATTTGAGAGAACACAAAGAATAAATGCACCTGTGTCATAGCGAACGATTTTGAGCCATGTCATTCAAGGTCTCTAACCATCGATTATTATCATCTCGTGGACCCCAACCAGGTAGTCGACAATTACCGACATGACTCAGTCCACTTGTCAATGATTTCATGGATTTCTGCCATGTTTTGGTTTGGTCGCCCCTAACTTTCTTCCAACCTACTCCTACACTACAAAACATTGCTCGTCGAGGCAGTCGGTGGTTAGAGGAATACGCAGCACATGTCCCAACCACCTCAACTGATGAAGTTTCAGTACTTCATCTATTGATCTGCCATTCTTACCTAGCACCCGTTTCCTAATGGCAGGATTGCTCACTCGGGTGTCCCATGGTACACGAAAAATGCTTCGAAGACACCTATGATCGAAAACCAGTAACCTACGAATATCTTCTACTCTCCCTGGCCATGTTTCACATCCATAAAGCAATACGGATCGAACCACTGCACAGTACACTCGTCCTTTAGTCAGCAAACGGATATCTCTGCTACGCCATAAGTGACGCAGGTTGGCAAAAGCCAATCGAGCCTTCTGTATCCGAGGTGAGATTTCCTCAGTCACCAGGCCATCTGCACTGATGAGACTCTCAAGATAAGTGAAGTGGTCTACACGTTCGACTACTTTACTCCCTATCACTAGTTCAGGTGCCTATGCAACCCAACCTTGAAGCCACATTTTGCATTTCGAGGGTGAGAACCGCATCCCGAACATGCTTGCTTGCATTGTTGCTTAGGGTAGTCAGAAGACTCTGCATTTTGTCAGCGTCTTCACCAAGTAGGACAATATCATCGGCATATTCTAAGTCAGTAAATGAGCCACCTTTTAAAAGGTCTACTCCTGAAAATTCAGACGAGGATAAGGTTATTTCTAGGAACATGTCTATGATAAAATTAAACAAGAATGTTGAAACCCATTTATCATTAGTCATTGTTCAATAAGAAATCATATTGGATAGATGTAAAAAAATTCATTATAGTTTATTGAAAGTTCTAGACCTTAAATGTCTTCATCAGCAATGATGAAAGTATTATCTATCTATACATTTCTTCAATGGTCGATGTACAGAAAGCGAATCAGGAATGGTCAACATATACGGACTTTCGAAGTTGGGTGCCAATCAGTAAGGCGGCAAGACCAGAACACTTGGAATGATGATGAGCAGAATGTAAATACGACGAACTTTTCTGAAGAATAGTTTCCCATCCGGGTTCGTTGACAGTAATCTAACAACCAAACGTTAGGTTGAAAGTATTCCCATTGGATTCAAGAGAGCTACGGCAGCCTAAATACTAAAGAATGAATCATCCAGAGTGCTGAGAAAGATACTTTATTCAGCACAGCTACGAACTGTTTTCTCCAGCACGAACCTGACTCAGATGAATGTTAAGGATAGATTGCCACTTTGTGTCACCTCAATGTGTATTTATCAATTTCCTTGATCATGTGAAGCAAGTTACATCGTGTTACACATGCACGTAAACACGTCAATTCGATATGCTTGAACTATTACGAGTTTACCTTAGTCAGTAAACGAGAGTGATGATCGAGGATCTGGCGACATGACAGGTTACTCTTATCCAGTTGTCCCAAAACCCCGATTGAGTGAAAGATGAAGACTTAATATGAAGTAGAACATGTATTCTATAAGCATCCAGAAAGTACGGGGTCCGAGTCTAGAAGAGAATCAGGATCCATGACTAGGGATCCGGGTCCGTATCCGGATCGAGAAACGTTACAGATAATGCCTATTTATACATTTAGGCCGAGTAGGAATCGACACTGAAATATGTGACATTGACACTTAGGACGATCATAATATTGACCAGTAAGAATCAACCAACAGGAATTGACCAATAGAATTAGACTTAGGAAAATACGTCTCTTTCAGGATATTGGATGAATATCCTAACACATCGACTGTACAAAGCGTGCACTGTGTAAACAAATAATTGAACATTATTCTGCATAAATTTGTGATTAATTTTTAATTTTTTTTTCAATAATTTTATCAAGGAATTGGCTAAGAACTGATAGGTGTTTTATTCTCTTTTTTGTGAACTGTTGAAATTACACTGACTATAAATCTTATAAGAGATCTAATCTATTATATTTTCATCATATTGAAAACTATCACCAACCGTAATTATTTACACTTTTTTAAAGATAAATATATTTGTTATGTAACACATACTGGCGACTTGTTTGAATATTTGGACGACCTGTTTTCTAACATCAAAAGATTTCAACTGGTTATCTTGTTTTGTATGCTTTGACACGTCAATTATATCTGTTAAACGCATAATCTGCTCAGACGTGTACATAAATATTTTATGACTTATGACTTCACAAGGCACGAAAAATTATAATCCGAAATATTTCGATGACTATCGATCAGATAAGAAAAGAATTAACTTCGATAAGGTGTCGATTGTTGAATTGCTTACTTGTAATTGCTGATCATTAACTGTTTTGTAAAAAAAAAACCTTGTTGAAATATGCCATACTGTTGTGCTAAACACACAATAGTGAATAAAGCCATTATTATTACTATTATTATTATTATTATTATTATTATTATTGAGTTACGGATTACTGATTAGATATTCCTTAGCCTTATGTTACTGTTCGGGATGTTAGATCCACAGAACTCGCTTGTTAAGTGGCATATTTTGGATTTCACGTTCGCGAGCATGGGCTGATCAGTTGACCTTCAGACTTCATTTCCCACCAGGAAAATCTATGGCTGTGATTATCTGCTGTGTATTTTAGTGCGCTATTTTCGTAACTGTCCCAAGGACGTTTCTATGATGTATAAGTAAACGAGATTTGTGTGCTTGATTGTATTGTGATTGCTGGGTGTTTGTGGAATATACTTTCTACGCTTACAAAGCCTTTTCTCTTCAGCTTGGGATTCAAGGTAGCCTACCTGGACGCTGGCTGTCTCGTTTGCATTTATCGACTAAGATGAACTCGTAATAGCTTCGAGCGTTACTGAAGTATGAAATATAAAACAACTCAGTAGTGTATTCATTTCAAATTGATTCAAATGCATAGATGACAGTTCACATCCATACTATTCTGGACCGTTAAAAGTAATTGCACATAACTTTTTTTATAACAAAGTTATGGAGATCGTTGTTTAACATTGAGATCGTGAATCAATCATCGTTAGACCACCATTAAAACCTGGAAACACCGGATGGCCGTTTCGTCTGCTATAGGACTCTTCAGCAGTGTGCATCCACGAGTCTCGCTACTAGCACCAATCGAACTCAGGACTTTCGGTCTTGCGTGCGAACGATTTTCTTCATTTTTATATCCTTGAAATGTTAGCTAACTATTGCCTAAACATCTTGAAGATAAAGTGTTAACTCAGTTTTTGATAAAATATTTAGCTTATCAGGAACATTATCAAAATAAAAAATTTGGTTTCTCGGGTTCAAAGGCAGTATTAGTAGTAGTAGTGTGGTGCGCGCTACTGATAAGTAGTATATGACGCGTGTGTAAACGTAATGTCTGGCAACAGAAGATGGGGGAAGATCAAGGAAAAGGAAGAGTGGGAACACAATGGAATTTGTATGAAACGCATGAATAGTGAAATGTCAGAAAATGGATTGATGATGATTGATTTAAGATTTGCAAATTAACCGTTCACGAAATGGTTTTCCTATTTTACTGAGTAACTCTGTAATTTTTTTCGTTAAATACAATTCGGTTGCCCTCATCTGTGTTCTCCTTCACTACAGTAGTAGTAGTAGTAGTAGTAGTAGTAGTAGTAGTAGTAGTAGTAGTAGTAGTAGTAGTAGTAGTAGTAGTAGTAGTAGTAGTAGTAGTAGTAGTAGTAGTAGTAGTAGTAGTAGTAGTAGTAGTAGTAGTAGTAGTAGTAGTAGTAGTAGTAGTAGTAGTAGTAGTAGTGTGAGTAGTAGTAGTAGTAGTAGTAGTAGTAGTAGTAGTAGTAGTAGTGTGAGTAGTAGTAACAATCACAGCATGTTTATTTCGTTTTAACTGAGATTTGCTCATCTTCATGATTGTTGTACCAGTAAAACTGAAACGTATAATCTTCTCTTCATTTAGCATAGAAAATTCAACATTTCTTTCATATTATTTTTTCGGAATAAACAAGTAAACAAGTAAAATACATTTTAAAAAATAAAACCCGTTAAATTACACGATTTTTTTGATAATGACGATTACAAGATTAAACACAATTTATACATCAATCATAAAAAATCGACTTCATTTACACATACAATATGAAAAACCAATACAGAACAATGACCCGATATATATATTTCAGTAGACCGAAGATCAATCACATATATATTTTTTTTCTATACAAATCAATAATCGGTAGAATGATATTCCTACTTTCCTACTTCTTTTTTATCTTTCAAAAAACTACTCCATATTTACATGTTTCGATTTATTCATTCTGTCCAATAAGATCAATTTCCTTTTAATAATGATCAAAAACAATGTTATTGCTTATGACACGCATACCAGGGCGAAACAGCTTTCAGTGTGTAAAAAAACACTAATCTCCATAATTCTAACTGAAAAATCGTAGTGAACAGCTTCGTGAGGAATCTTCTCCAAGTTCTAGTGAGAAGACATATCAGTCAGTCAGTCAGTCAGATGCGATGTAGAACTTTGTACGCAAGGTAGTCGACAACTACCGACATGGCTCAGTCCACTTGACAATGACTTCATGGATTGCTACCATGTTTTGGTTTGGCCGCTAGTCCCGGCCGACCGTAGCTGCTACCTTGACGTGGTGGTCGGGCTTGCCTATCGTCATGACCCAACCGAGCTAGCTATATTGGCTGGAACATATGTTCCTGAAGGTTCTACCATGCCAGGCAGGTCGATTGAAGAACGATGAGACTATAAGCAGCTACTCAAGTTCTGAGGGAGAAGTCGTACTGCTGACTGCAGAGGGGTGTAAGAGCAGTAAGATGTTTCCCTTGGACAACCAACATCTGCAGCGATGTTGACTTCTCATAAGGAAGGAAGGAGTTAGAAAATGTCGACCCTAAAAATGTCACACCTCACCTTACCTCATGGATTTCCATCTTTGGTGGTAAGGGTGCCCACTAAGGGCCTTTAAGAGCGGATCTAATACTCGAAAAACCTTTAATAAAAAGGTAGTGCGTGACCGGCCTCAAGCAGTTATCCCTTGGGCTCTGAGGTCACGCACCCAGGTCTCCAAGACCAACACTGATCTACCTTCCTTTTCAGGTCCCTCAAGAAACAACCTTCCACGGTGTGGGCAGCTGGGAAATGACAAGCGCCCTCATACCCGTAACAGCACACGAGAGACCAAATTGGTCGAAATCAAATCCTCCTTGTAACCATACACACCTCTCTTCTCTCCAGTGAGAAGACATGACAAGTGAAGTTCACCCCTGCCGGGTGCAGGTAGGCAGTAACTACCGAAGACAAATCGGTGAGGTCGCGCAAAAACTGTAGATTGATCAGAGTTAAACATTAACACCGTTAGATGCCGGGACAGTGGTCCATAGGTTAGGCGTTCGCGCACAAGACCAAAGGTCCTGGGTTCAAATCCTGCGGGATACAGGAGTCGTGGATGTGCACTGCCACTGATGAGTCCAACACCAGGACGAAACATCCGTACCTCAGTGCTTCCAGGTTTCTTCTAATGTTAGTCTAACATTGATCGATTTTATGAAATCAAATGGCCAACTACAATTCAACAAAATTCATTAGAAATGATATAATGCCTTCTTTTTCCTTGTCAACATTTTGTTTCTTTTTGAACATCTTACTTGTTTTAAAAAAATCATTGCAAATCCAATTATAAAATCATATTAACCTAGAAGAATGTAAACTATCATCTACCTACCTCTATCATTCTAATACAATTAACAAGAACCTATTTATGATTTAACCTAACAATCAACTTTTTTTCTTTCTCTTCATTTCAAACAATTTTGTTCAATTTTCAATTATCTTAAATTATTATTATTGAACATTGAAAACTGTTTCAAATATTAGTACATTTTGTTTTTAAAATGTCATCCATCTTTAATGATTTTAGCGAATGTTTAAATTCAAAAAACAGAAAAATAGAAAAATCTGATAAAAAAAAACTTTTTTATTCACGGTCATAGATTTTGTTTTATTGAACAAACAAAAAAGAACAAAATGTAAACCCCTTTCAATCAGTTTTTTTTTAATTTTTCTGAATAGATAGTTGTTCAATTTGGGACAAATAATGAAATTAATTTTAAAATGAATAGGAATGTTTTTTTTTGAAAAGTGAATCGCATTTTACGGGGTTGTGAAGATTGTTAAGTTTATTTGAAACCATGAATCGATCAATGTTAGTTAGACCACCATTAGCAACCTGGAAGCACTGAAAGACGGCCGTTTCGTCCTGGTATGGGACTCATCAGTGGCAGTGCACATCCACGACTCCTGTACCCCGCAGGATTCGAATCCAGGACCTCCGGTATTGTAGGTGAACGCCTAACAATCGGACCACTGAGCCGGTATCCAACGGTGGTAATGTCTAACTTAACAATCTTCACAACCCCCTAAAATTCAAATTACCTGTGTTCATTAGTGACTAGCTTCAAGAGGAATCTTCTCCGAGTTCTAGCGGGAAGACGTGACCAGTGAAGTTAAACCTGTTCGGGTATAGACAGTATCTACCGTAGACTGTGTATGAGGTTGCGCAACTCCGCGAACTGATCAAGTTAAACATTAACACCGTTTGATGTTGGCTCAGTGGTCCGATGGTTAGGCGTTCGCCTACAATACCGAAAGTCCTAGGTTCGAATCCTGCGGAGTACAGGAGTAGTGGATGCGCACTGCTGCGGAGTCCCATACCAGGACGAAACGACCGTCTTTCAGTACTTTCAGGTTTCTAACGGCGGTCTAACATTGATCGATTCATGGTTGCAAAAGAAGTGAATCGTTTTTTTTGGAAAAAATTCAATTCATATTTTGCTGAAAAAAATTGACATTTTCCATTTCACTCTATTTGAACACATCAGCTGAACAGAAAAATGTACTTTATTATTCAATCACAGAGAAACATTACCGATAATCAATGATTTAACAGTTTCTTTTCATTTGATTTAAAATCAGCTATAATTATATTTATTGCTGATGTAATCAACAAGGGATACTACCACACATCCCGCCCCCGTAACTCAGGTCTCATATGGTTGTCGAAAAATGAAAATTTTTGGAAATGCCAAAAAAATCATTACCCGACATGAGACAAAGGGTAATGAAAGTGTTTTTTGGCCTTTTTGCATTAAGCTGGGCTGCCTCTTCTACTATCCTACGCCATATGCTATACTGTTAATATAGAGCTGAAGGTCTCCTATGAGACTAGAGGTTCGCTGTGATGAACATTGTGGATAGCTTGGCATTGCTTTGGATAGTATTGCTAGCAGTCCATATACAAAATTGGTTAGCAGGGTGACCGATTTCATTGATGCAACTGGTGGTTGTTTTGCAACATTCCCGAGGGCCATTGTCATTGGGGTGCTGTATTGCTGCATATCACCATTGCTAATAATAATGAGTTTGACAGTCACGTAAGCTGGATGGGTCGAAATGGCTTGTTCATGCGGTGCATAATGATTGACGAAGCGATTATGGATAGGAAATATATATACCAGTGTGTATAAATATAAATGGTGTGAATGGTCCACCAGGGGGTATCAGGTACCACCTGTGTGGTTGCACCACAGGATTCAGCCGAACTGTTCATGTAGTAATGGTAAAACGTGAGCAATCAGTCTCTTTGGTTCTCCTGAAAACCACCAATGTAAAATTGCCCCCTTGACAATACAGGGTAAATTTATATAATCGTTGTAAAAATTGAATTGTGATGTAATCAACAACTAATGACGCAGCTGACTAGTCAAAATGTAGGCACACATTATCTTCTGACATCCATTTGCAAAACAAGCAGATTATTGGCTGCCTTCTTCTTTCATACTACTTACTTATAAGCTATATTGTCAGTAGTATACACCACACACTGGTAGGTTTGAAATTTTCTAACTGGTGCTTATATTTTACTTATGTTCAGTATACAACTCATCTAATGAAACATAATGATTGGTCAATATTTAATTTCTTTGATTTGATAATGAATTCAGATTAGCTGTTCGTTTAGTTTTCACATCTAATTTGACTGTATAGTGACCAGTATAAGTTGTCATACTTTATCAGTCTGTCAGTTATAACTCAGAACTTCGTACATGAGTACATCAGTTCAAGTTGCCATACCACATTAACACAGAGAGGCAACTGCCATTTCAAATCCAATAGTGGTAGCGATAGTAAAAGTGTTAGCAGTAATCGAAAAGAATAGGGTTCCAAGATATGATTCCAGAAGTATAACTCAATGAGATAAAGTTAGAAAGCTAAAGAGATGATGAGGAATTCGGAAGGTTAGGGTTTGATAGAGCGCAAAAGATGAATACACCTGCGCCATTGCAAACGATTCTGAGCCATGTCATTTAAGGTCTCTAACCATCCGTGACTTTCGTCTCGCGAACCCCAACCAGATAGCCTACATCTACCGACACGACTCAGTCCACTTGTCAATGACTTCATGGATTTCTGCCATGTTTTGGTTTGGCCACCCCTAACTTTCTTCCAACCTTCTCCCACACCACAAAACATAGCTCGACGAGGGAATCGAAGGTTGGTCATTCGTAACACATGTCCCAACCACCTCAACTGATGAAGTTTCAACACTTCATCTATTGATTTACCATCCTTACCTAGTACTTGTTTCTTAACGACAGAATCGTTTACTCGGTTGTCCCAAGATATACGAGCAATTCTTCTGAGACACCTTTGATCGAAGACTAGTAACCTACGAATGTGCTCTACTCTTAAAGGCCATGTTTCGCATCCGTTTAGTAGGACAGAGCGAACTGCTGCACAGTACACTCGTCCTTTGGTGAGCAAACGGATATCTCACCTGCTCCATAGGTGACACATATTGGCAAAAGCTAGTCAAGGCTTTTGTATCCGTACTGAGATTTCGTCAGTCACCCCGTCCATCAGCACTAATGAAACTTCAT